CTTTAACTTTACCTCAACTTTGAGAAAGTCCTCAGCCATATATGCTCAAGAGAGAAATAAGTCAACTTGGGCTTAGGCATTGTAGCTTTGCAAGAATTCATTTCATTCTGTTACACATAGCACTGATGTGAGTCCCAACCCCATGGCACTAAACAACAACTGTGACCCACGCCTGTGGATCCTGGCACTCAGGCTGGTGGCTCTGAATCCAGGCTCCACCACGACTAGTTCTGTGAAGCTGAGCACGCTTCTCTCCCACCACTCCCTCTTTGTGCCTTACATTCTGTATCTGGGAAATAGAGATAATAAATATCCCCTACCTCATAGGGTTGTTTTTGAGGCTAAAATAAGTTAATATTTATAGCATGATTCTAGAAGCACTAGCATATATATACAGTGCATGATAAATAAAGCTCACTGATGTTGAGTCCTTTCTAACTTGTAGAGACCACAGTAAGGCCAAGTAGAACTGCCCTACAGGGTTTCCAAGGCCGTAGCTCTTTAAGGGAGCAGATCACCACATCTTTTTTTTCTCTTGGAGCAGCTGATGGCTTTGAACCTCTAAATCTTTAACAACTGAGCGCTTACAAACTGTGCTAACAGAACCCGTCCTGTGAAGTTACCTATCATTATTGTTGGCATTATTAAGTCTCTTAGATTTTAGCATGAAGAAGTGTTTAAGAAGCATGTTGGAGGCGAGCTCTGGTGGCCTAGTGGCAAGAAGCTGCACTGCAATCTCGGAGGTACACGGTTCGAATCCACCAGATGCTCTGCTGGAGAAGGAGGAACAATCTCCTCCTGTACCAGTCAGATCTGATTTGACGGTATACACAAAAAATAATGAAATTAAAAAAAAAAAAAGAAGCATGTTGGGACATCCTCATGAGTTTAAATGACTTAAAGAATATGCAGGGAACCCTGGTGGCACAGGGCTGCTACCTAAGAGGTGAGTGATTCAAATCCACCAGCTACTCCTCAAGAGAAAGGTGGGCTGCCTTCCTGTCCTATCAATATTTACAGCCTTAGAAACTCAGTGGGTGTGGTCTGGGAAATGATACGGCACAGCTGGCTAGGTCTCTTTTAAAGGAAAAGGGTTCCACAGGAGAGAGATTGTACACACTTCTGGGCCAGCTGACTTGAAAGGACCCATCTTGGCACAGTCTTTGCATTCCTAAATGCCTCACTGCCATCAGAGTTTGACCATTTTTATGAGATGAAGATAAATGTAAATCAGAATTTTATATTTGAATGGAATGTCTTCGTTTGCTCAGCAGCCCTTTGCTAAGTCCCTCCTGTGTGTCAGGCTCTGTGGAAGTCTTGCAGTCTAGACAGACTGATGGTTGAGTTTGTTTCTTGGCTGACACATCTACATACTCATTGACACATATGCACATTCATATACGTATACACGCACCACGAATGGGTGGCGTGTATAAAGTTCCATTGGCTTCTACATATGACCATCGAGGGGTTTTATTAAAACGTCTCGGGCTGACTTAGTACCTTTTGCATCAGATATTCTGTTTTCCGGATGATGAACTAGAACTGATTGTATAAGGGGAAATTGCCCCTCACCTCCACACCACTGTCTGTGCCTCGGACAACAGCCCCCAGGCCAACTGCTGACCACCACCTTGTCCTGTCAACTGATCTGTCCTGACATTTGACTGAAGTCTTTCGTCAGCTTCATGTTCCAAGGAGCTGGTATAGAGGTTCTGTTTGTCTTTGCTGTGCTTGAATAAGGAAGTTACCAGATATACTTTCACCTAGAGTGACAGTCTCTCTTTGCAAAGGTTGGCCAACCGAGGCCAAAGCTGAAAATGTCAGTAAAAACAAATGGTATTTTTTTGAAATAGTATTTCAAAAGGGCCTCGTGTGTTTTCCCCTCCTTGTGCTCATGTTGCCTCATCAGCCACAGGTTGCAAGAACTGCTTAAAAGGAACCATTAGATATCCCTCCACCCCCAGCAGCCTTTAACAAAACTCCTGTACACCTTATCGGTACCCTCCTGCTGACTCTGGACAATTACAAATAAGCTTTGGTCTCTATGCATTGGCCTATTCTGTATATTTCGTAAAAGTGTAATCAGGCAATATCTGTCCTGCTCAGTCTAATGTATTACACATCCAGACTTGCCCAAGTGAGAGGCGGAGACGGAGGTCAAGTCAGTTCGATGTGCATCCAGACCTGGCTCTTAACCAACACACAGTGAGACTGGACCAGGTGCTTGGGGCCATGATAGACCCAGAGTTCTTAGTGGTGGTGGTGGTGGTAATGGGATTCCGTAGAGAAGGATTGTCTTTGAAACTCAAAGAAGTGCTCAAAAGGAATCATACTTCACTGGGCTAGATTCAATGACTTCCATTTCTGGAGCAGGATCTGCTTACTCAAGTGTAAACCGAGGGTAATGCATACTCAGAAGAACAATGAGTCAGTTAAGGTCTTTGAGGCGTTTGGAGATTATTAAACAGGATCAGGCATAACAGGATATTGTTTGGTTCCCTACTGAGCTTTCAGATTAATATTTGTAAAAGTTTGTGTACAAACTCTTAAGAGTCCTTTGCTGATTCTATGACCAATTGGTGGTAGTAATTCACACATTGCCAGTGCTGCATGTTTTTGGTAGCACACAACAGGTCTTGGATATATCAGAATATTAAAAATGTCTTTAGGGAGGAAATTCCAAGGAGTCATTTATTATTCAATCAGTTATTTGCTGAGGATCAACTTTATGCCAGGCACTGTTATGGTTGTTGGAGACTGTGACGAATGAATCAAAAGGCTCTGCTTTCTAGGGGATCACGTCACAGAGAGAGGAGGCAGATACTAACCAAATGCACAAAGAAATAAACACGCTGCAAAGAAAGCACAGATGCAGGACTGAGACAAGGGAAGATGCTGGGAGTTAGTAAAAGCGCTCAGGGAAGGGGAGGTGGAGCTCAAATTCTGAATGGCAAAGAGGAAACGTCCATGTGAAAATCTGAAGTCCCATATGACAGGGTAGAATTGCCCCATAGAATTTTCAGTCTTTAGGGAAGCAGACTTCCACATCCTTCTTCTGAGGTGTGACTGGTAGATTTGAACCACTGATGTTTTGGCTAGCAACTGAGCTCTTAACTACAGAGCTACCAGAGTTCCTTCCACTGGCTTTGATAAGGAAATTTATTCTGATTGCAAGCAGTAGCCTTTGGAGGTTATAAGCAATGGAGCTACTGCACAAGAGAAAGACGGACCCTCTCCTCTGATGCAACTTAAAGCCTGTGAAAATCTAGTCAAATCTGAGTCAGTTCCAACTCATAGGCAAGGAAAGAAAGAGAAAGATGAAAAAGAAAGGCACACGGTTCAAATCCACTAGCTGTTCTGAGGGAGAAGCCTGGGCAACTCCTCTTGTGTGATTTACTGCCTCTGGAAACCCTCTGGAGGATCTACTGTGGGTCGGTTCTGACTCAGCAACACACAACAACAACAGGACACTAAAGACCCCTTTCCCTGTGGTTGGCTGTGCTGCTAGCCCAAAGGCCGTGCATATTTGGCAGTTTGAATTCACTGGAGGATTCACAGGAGAAAGGTGTGATTTACAGCCTCAGAAACCCAGTGGAGGATCAGTGCTGAGTCAATTCCGACTTGATGGCAATAAATTGTACGTGTCCAATGATGTGTTTGGCAGTTCAGAGGTAGAACTTTTGCTTTCCACATGAATCCATGAAGACATGTGATTCTGTGGAATCTAACTGCTCTGCACCTGACTCCAGCTCATCTGCGCTTGACTCCGGCAGTGACTGTCACGTGCAGCCACCATTCTTCTGCTCTGTGAGCTCCTAACCACATAGCGTGGTGCCGTAATGCAGAAAGGCCTAGAAATCTACTTCCAAAATGCAGCCAATGGAAACCTCAGTAGATCAGTGGTTCAATCCACAGCCTGTCTTGGACACAGACTATCGGGACCAAGCAGTATTTCACCCTGCTCACATCTTGATGGCAGCTGAGAACAACAACATTTGTCTCCAGAAAATAAACTGGAGCAAGATACAACACAGCTGTTTATAGTAGTTTTCTGGTGGTGAGCTAGCTTTTCCTTCATTAAAACAAATATCCAAACCCATTGCTATGAGTTGATTCTGACTCCTGGAGACCTCGTGTGTTAAGAGAGAACTGAGTTCTTGAAGGGTCTCTTTGCCATATTCTGTACAGAAGCAGCTTACCAAGCCTACCTGCCAAGGTGCCACTGGGAGGGCCTCAACCAACAATTTTTTTAGATAATAAAATTCCAAAGCCAAACTCATTGCCATTGAGCTCATAGCTATTACTCACTGGCTCATAGTTGACCCTCTCGTGAGTTTTCAGAGGCTGTAAATCACATGGAAGGAGTGGTCCCCTCTTTCTCCTTTGGAGCGACTGATGGATTTGAATCACCTGCCTTTAGATTGTTGACTCTTTACCCACTAGATTGAGGACAGACCATTTTGGCATTTTGTGAGCCTGCTAGGACTTTGGATTACTTTAGTAATTAGAAAGAAGACATTTTTAAAAGCTTTGCTGTGGAGCAGACTGGAGGGGGCACGTATGAGTGAAGCTACTTTGTCATGCCTTAGCTCAGATTTGAGTCTGGCATCCGGGTGCTTTGGAATGCTGGAGAGAACTTTGATGGTGGGTCAGGAGAGAAGTATGTTTGCCTGTTTAATAAGCCAAAGATGATAAACTTCGCCTCACGTCCTTTGGGCATGTTGCTGGGAAAGGCTGTTCTTTGGAAAAAGACATCATGCTTGGAAAAGTGGAGGGATGGTAAAAGATAGGAAGACCATCAACCACGTGAATCAATACATGGATTGGCAATGGGTTCGTGTGTCAGAGATGTGAGGATGGCACAAGATAGGACAGAATTCAGGTCTCTTATACAATGGTTCGACTTGATGGTGCCTAACAACAACAACAACCCTAAAATAAACTTCTTTCCAGACTGTGTATGCAAAAGAATCTAAGCTTTCTGTTCTGTCTCACAGATCTCAACATCACTTGCCGATATGCTGGCGTATTCCATGTGGAGAAAAACGGCCGCTATAGCATCTCCAGGACTGAGGCCCCTGACCTCTGCCAGGCTTTCAACAGCACGCTGGCTACCATGGCCCAGATGGAGAACGCCCTGAAAATCGGGTTTGAGACATGCAGGTAAGGGGTGAGCCTGGTTACCTGAGGTCAGGAGTGGGGCTTAGACCCGGGAAGGCTCCTCCCTGACCACTTACATAGATTATTGCTGGGAAAGTCAGTCCTACCCGTTAATTTGGCCACGTCGATCTGGAACCTGTACTGGCAACTGGAATTTAAAGTTCTCTAAAGACACCTTTGTGAATCACAGTGAGGAGAGGCGCCGAGGGTCATGTGTTGGGAGCCTTTGGCCTAAAGTGCTTCCACAGCGCTCTCCTGGCTTTGAAGACACGTGCAATATCATTGTCGGAACCACAAGAAAACCTACACCAAATAACAGTGTTTAAAATAAATATGTGGCTGGTAGTCTTGGCCCTACAGACTTGGCAAAAAGCAGAATTTTCAAGCAACTTTCTTTTTTTTGTTGTTCTTTTTCCAGGTTGCTCCATGTTTCAGGGGAGAATAAGTAAAGGACTTGACAGTTATGACTATCGTTTACAAACCCTGACTGTGCCTGACAAGGATTTGGAGGAACCCTGAGAGGCCTCCTGCTAGGTTTCAGTACTCCCTGCAGAGGGAGACTGAAGATGATTTACTGCAGGATAATTGCACCAGGCAGTGGCTTTATTTCTCAATGCCTGATGGTTTCGTGGCTGGTGATACACATTTAAGAGTGACCAGTGCTGATGACTGCGGTGAAGGGTTTTGGCTTGCCCTGTTTTTAGTCTAACAGTTAGGAGTCCCTGGGTAGTATAGGCAGTGATCCACTGTGCTGCAAAGTGTAGGTTGGTAGTTCAAGCTCGCTCAGAGGCACCTTGAAAGAAAGACTTGACTATCTATTCTGAACAGTCAGTTACATGGAATACAACGCTTCCCTGACTTGCCTGAGGAGCCCAAGAGTCAGCTTTATAGCAACTAGTTTGTAAGAGGGAGCTCTAGTGGCCTAGTCAGTAAGGAGCTGTGCTTTTAACCCTAAAGATGAGCTTCTATGGAAGTTCGAATCCACCAGCCACTCTACAGGAGAAACATGAGCAATCTGCTCTGGCGGGACTCACAGCTTCGGCAACATGCTGGAGGGTCAGCTGTGGTTGGCTTTAACTCATTGCTGGTGAGAGAGAAGGAAGGAAGGGTCATCTCAACAACTGCCCTGAAGTGTCCACCCCAGTCGGCAGCTGCCCGCCTTTTGCTTTTGCAATGTGATTAGGTAACCTTGTTCCCTTTCTCTACGAGGTATAAACAGTCTCACACATCGACGGTCTCGTAAAAGTCGTGCTGCTTTTAGAGCTGTTATGTAAAGTTTCCAAATTACCACCAAGAACATGGACTTAGTTTTTCACTCCATGCAGTGATGTCCAATGCAGCCATTTCCCAGCAACCACAACACCACCGGCTTTGTCCTTTCACAAGTTTTTTTTTAAAATAATAATAAGCATGCTAGTTTCTATGCATTTTTAAACACCTCTTCTTTGAAACAGCCAAGTTCAGCTATGTTATAGTGAAATCATTTAAGCAGAGACTTTGTGTTGATTGTTGTCACTTTATATTTAGAACAAACTTATCTGGCTGAATGGAAATGCCTTAGATGTTTCTTGGGGTGTAATCTTTCAGGGAGCAAATCCGTACATCTCTCCTCGTCATTGAGTGATAGTGCATTCTATTCATTAATCTTTCAGTTAGCAGTCCAGTGCTTAATCATTGTGCCACCAAGTAAAGATGGAACTTGGTGAAATACAAGTATGTGCCTCACCTGATCACATACAGTGTCTTCGTTTCTTCTGTTGATCAGGTGTACATATTATTTGCTTGCTGACAGAGACCAAAATGTCATGGGTCAGCCTCTCTGAAACTGGTCCACAAGCATCCTGTAACTTGTGCTATTGAGATTGTTTATTTTATAGACAAAGTCAGGCCTCTGAACTAGATGTTAGTGATAGAAAATGACTTATCTAAATTTCATTTGGGCCGCAGAAGTCACAAAAGACTCAGGTTCATTTTACTATATGTTGTTGTTGTTGTTAAGTGCTGTCAAGTCGTAGGCAACTCATAGCAAACCTATGAATGAAAGACCTGGACACTTGTATAACTTTTGTCCTTTCTCCAGGTTTACTATCTAGGTGTTGTTGTTGTTATGTGCCGTTGAGTCACTTGCGACTCATAGCGACCCAATGTACAACAGCCCTAAACTCTGCTCTATCCCATGCCAATCTCATTGCCTCTGACACACCCACCCTGATTACCCTAGTCATTGAATCAGTCCACCTCATAGAGGTGGACTGCGCTGTGCCTAGGTACTTCATTAAATCTGTGGTGCTAAAAAAGGGTAAACCCTAGACTTGTTGCCAAAAGTTGTTATGCTATGTATTTATGAAACAATGAAAGATTCTTTTGTGGGTTTTTCTTTCTTTTTAAAAAAAAAAGTCATGCTGAGGGAGCTCCAGTGGCCTAGTGACAAAAAGCTGCACTGCAATCCCTGATATGTGGTTCGAATCCACCAGATGCTCTGCTGGAGAAGGAGGGGCAATCTCCTCCTGTACCAGTCAGATCCAATTGGACAGTACACACAAAAAAATAATTAAATAAAATGAAAAAAATGTCGTGCCGCAAATCTCTTTGTGGAAATCATTAACATAAGCTAAACAGAGCTACCTCTCATTCTTGGCTGCAGAGTGATGCAGCCGCATTAGGCATGGTACCAGTGTTCCTCTTGCTGCAAGGGAAAAGGAGACTCTTTCCAATCGCATTGTCCAACACAGGACTACCTACATCCAAATTAATAATAATTAAATGTAATGAAAGCTTCAGTTCTTCAGTGGCACGTTCTGCATTCCCAGTGATCAGTTAGCCACAAGTGGCTGGACCATGCAGATTGTGGAACATTTCCACTTCATAGAAGGTTATATTGGGCATTGCTGCTCTGAGATAAAGTACTTTATTATAAACCCCTGTGTGTATCCAGAGGAGCTCTGGTGGTGTTATCTGTACAGAGCTGTGCTTCTGACTCAAAGGCCTCTCCTCTCTGGCAGTTCAAATGCACCAGATGCTGTAAGGGAGAGAGATGGGCAACTTCCTCCCATGCGGTTTACAACCTCAGGAATCTGCTATTAGAGTCAACTGTGAGTCAGTTTAACTCTACAGCAAGGCAAGATTGATGGATGGATGGACAGATGAATGGAGAACGAGATAGACAGATAGATAGATAGATAGACACATAAACCCCTAACGGTCAAACACTCAAACACACAGACAGACAGACCCCTGATGGTGTATCAGTTAACCATAAGATTTCTCATGAACCCACCAGCTGCCTTATAGTAAAAAGAAGTAGCAGCCCTCTTCTGTAAAGATTATGGTTTCAGAAATTATGGGGCAGTTCTGCTTCATCCTAGGGTCATTGTGAGTCAGAATTCACTTGACTGGAACGAGTTTTGTTTGAGAGGAGCCTTGACTACTCACTGAAAGGTTAGATGTTCGAACCCACCAGTCTCTTTGTGGGAGATGAGACCCAACCAATCTGCTTCTTTAAAGACAGAAACTCCTCTGACCTGCTGGAGGCTATGAGTGAGCTGTGACCCAGCAGCACACAAGCAGAGCAGCACATGTGCACACGTGCTGCGAAGGTGGTTTGAACTTGCTTGCCTGCTTACCAAAAGTGGGAGATTCAAACTCACTCAGTGGTACTTGTAATAAAGGTTTGATGATCGATGAAGATTACAACCAAGAAACCTTATGACGCAGTTCTGCTCTGTAAGTCACATGTGTGATCACTGGGAGTTGGAACTGACTCTGTAGTAGCAGTTTTTCTATGTGTTCAGAGCTTGATATTCAGGTACACACTAGGGCAGGAAATAAGATAAAACTCAGGGAGCTTCTGAACCTGGGCCTTAGGTTACAATGGCGTAAGGTCAATTAGCAGGTCCGTTTATTCTATTCCCCAGGCTAATCGTGTAAGTATGTCCCTAAGGAGGCAACCAGCTTAAGAAAGTGTACTTAGCCAGCGGAATTTCGATTGTGAAACACAAACAAGACACACTTGTGAAATGCAGAAATGTTTTCATGTACCGAGACTCAGAGGAAGTTCTTACTGTTGCCACTGGCCAAACATTGAGCCCTAAAGCCCTAGAAGCTTTGCTGCCCACTGACCACGTCCCTTGCTTAATCCTCAAACTCTGCTTCGGTTCTTGTTATGTGCCCATTTTGTGGATTAAGAAACAAAGGCTTAGAGCAATTTCTGCAGCTCACCCTGGACCTTAACACTGAGAGGTGGAAGATTGAGGAAGACCCTACTTCCTCTGAGCCAAGACTCTAGATTCAAATGGTCAAGCCTGCCTGGAGAATTGAGAGCAAAAGTGAAATAAATGTTGTGGCTGAGTGTCCTTTTCTTCCTGGGAACAGTAAATTATTCTCGCCAAACATTCCCATACAAATGTTAGCATCACTCTTCTCTTATGGTGCTTCACATAAAACTTGGAGTCAATGTGATACTGTAAAAAGGCAATAAAACTTACAAAGGAGATGTATTAGATTCTGGAATATCAGCGTTATCCATAGCTGTCAGCAGTGATGAGATTGGTAAAGGTTACATAGACCATGGAGGATATATATATATATACTGTGCCAAAGAAATCTACCCTTCCACCCATAACCAGCGTTAAATGTTGCAAAATTTATTTCCATAATTTCAGTAACTCCAGTAGCTATGAATCAGATGTCTGCCAGCGGACAGATGGCACAGGTTCCCAGGTTAGCCTAAAACCTAAGCAACTACTTTTTTGACTTCCCCACCCTGACTAGTAGCAATGTGCATATACATGGAAACTTATTAACATTTTATTGTGTCCCCTCCCCTCCACAAAGCTGGAGAGATTTCACAGAAACCAGTCTGTCCATTCAGATGAGGATTTAGTCATGTGAGCTACAGTTGCAACACAGACATAATGAGCTGTGTGCTTACAGACTTCAAACTGAAGACATCGCCATGGGTCGGGTCTTGGGGGCGCTGCATCTGCTCTCTTGCCCCTCCCCCCTCCCCACAGGAAAGATTCAAATAAGCTGCGCTGTGTGTTTGAGCCTGTATCACATTTTTTTAAAACCTCTTAGATGTAGTTTCTTCTCCCTCTTTGTCCTGCTCCTGCCACTACCTCTTCCATCGCAAACGGTATTTTCTTGGCCCGTGTCTCCTGTTTAGAAAAGAAGACGAAATTGTGAAATAAGCAGTTAGTGAGGGTTATGGTGTTGCAAAGAGGCTGAGAGGTTCCTACAGGAGGAAGGGAGGAGGCCATTGGTGCTTTTCTGGCTGTATGATGTTTATTTTTGGCAGCTGTTGTCAAGCGGGGACCTGCATGTGTCAGAGTAGAACTGTGCTCTGTAGAGTTTGAGTGGCTGATTATTTGAAAATAGGTCACCAGGCCTTTCTTCTGAGGCACCTTTGGACGCAAGCCTCCAACTTTTGGTTAGCAGCTGAGCATCAACCATATGCACCATCCAGGGACTCTGCTTTCTGCTTATTCAATCGCTTCTAGTCCAGTCTTAATGATGACCAACTGGTGTTTTTATGTTTGCTTGTTTTTTACTGGCAATGAGTGTAATTAATTATTCCTGATATGTTCATAAGGGAAAATATACTGTAACTTTGCCATCTAAGACTTCATCTCTAGAATAATGGAGCGTGAAGTAAGAGACGGAAGGTAAAAATGAGGCCGGGGGAAAGAGTAAGGGATGAGTGGTGGAAAATAAGACAAGTGAAATCACTCTGATGTTTACCTTCCCAACAGCAAGCCTGGCAAGGTGGACTGTCAGCGAGGAAGAGGAGGCCTTTAATGGGGTGGATTGACACAGTGACTGTAATAATCGGTGCAGGAATATTAGGGATGATGAGGACGGCACAGGATAGGGCAGGGTTGGGATCTGTTGTTCGTAGGGTTGCTGTAAGTCATAGTCGACTCGACAGCACCTAACACCACCACCACCACCTGAGTTTGAAACGTGCAGACTAAAATGAAGAGCCACTTGTAGTCTTTCCTTTAGGGAGTGGCCATAAAAAATGTACTTTCCAGAAAACCTGGAGACAATCTAGTGTCAGAGGGACACTTCAAGGTGGTCATTATTCTTTCCCCTGTGTCCCACCCCCATCGCCCCTTCACTCATTCATACTACCCGACACGACTGAGTTTATTTAAAACCAATATCTGCCTTCATGATTTTTTTTTTTTCAAATAGAAATGTCTTCCTGGAACTCTAAATAAAACCAGCTTCTCAATATATCAGCTTTACCTTAAAAATTAAAATAATTGACTTGTTTTTTAGATGGGAACAAAAGAAAAATTAACCACAGCGGGGGGGGGGGAGGAATCGCTTTCTCTCTCTGTTTCTCTGCTATTTTTTTTTTTTTAATTTCATGTAGCTTTTGAAACCTCTTTTATCCCTCATTAGAGGCAAGGGAAGTGAAATCTCTTCTTATATATTTTGAGTGTCTTGTCAGGAGGTGGAAAAAGACCTCATGCCTGAAAAAGTTGAGGGTCCATGAAAGAGAGGAAGACCCCCAAGGAGGTGTATTAGCAACAATGACTCTAACAAGGGATTTGAGCATGACAGAAATCATGATTATGGCACAGAATAGGGCAAAGTTTCAGTCTGTTGTTCATTTGATCACTATGAGTCGTAGTCATCTCAATGGCCCCGAACAGCAAAAGCAACCACCAACATCACTAGGGGTGAATTGAGTGAAGCGTTGCACTTCTTCAGTGTCTTTCCATGGGTAACATGGAATTGCTACCACAGCTTTGCGGCCTGGTAACCTCTTGCTTTTCTTTGGTAGGTACGGATTCATAGAAGGGAATGTGGTGATCCCCCGGATCCACCCCAACGCCATCTGCGCTGCCAACAACACAGGGGTGTACATCCTCACGTCCAATACCTCCCAGTACGACACTTACTGCTTCAATGCTTCAGGTGGGTTCTGAGTCGATTGGCTTTGTCAAGTGGGGACTGGCTTCTTCCAACCCGTTGGCAGCATGATTAATGATGCTTAAATCTCAGCACTTGAGCAGTTTCCATCCATATAACAAATATTCATTAAGAATCTCTACAGCAGAGACAAGATTCAACACCAAGGTGGGGAGTCAAACAATTAATACTTTGTGTGAAGTCAGAGAGTGATGCTGGGGCAGGGGGGTGGAGGGAGAGGGGAGTCATTGTTTAGGTAGCATCAAGCTTTTGTTTATGGAGATAGAAAACTTGGCAAGATGGTGTTAGTGATAGTTGCACAATGTAATTGATATAATTAGTTTTATTGACTTGCAACTGTGAGAAATGTTGAATTGGCAGTTATGTTATCTACATTTTACATTTTTATTACACTAAAGAAAAAGAAAATTAAAAAAGCTGTTAGTGTAAATATAAGAATAAAGAAAACAGATTAGGAAGTTAAAGAGTACGGAGATGTTTTTAACAAAGGATTGTCAAGAAAAAAAATTGACGAAGTGACTTTAGGAGATCACTGGGGTCAGCCTGTGGGCTCAGGGAATAGCCAGAAGGAATATCGTAGCCTCATCCGACATCAGTAATCAGGCCAGTGAGGCTAAGTCATGGCCGTTTGAATGCCAAGGAATGAAGCTAAAGAGGCAAGAAGGATCCAGATCACTAAGGTCTTGCAGACCAAGGTAAAGAGTTTGCATTCAGTTCTCAGGGTTTTGACTAGGGTTGTGGCATGAAGCCAACACTAACTTTGGCTAGAAGCCAAATGCCCTGGGTGAGAGGTAGTATAGTTGGTGGTAGGAAAGAAGGCTGAAAGGATGTCCTCTTGACCTTCTTGAATGTTCCTTTCCCAATTCTTGCAGAACTAAAAAACTAGAAAAACTACTGGGCATCTGGCCAGCATCCCTTCTGTCTATGGGGCTTGCTTGCTTTAAAAAAAAATTGTATTGTGATTTTGACAAAAGTCTACAGAATCAATAGAAAAACTATGGAATATTCACACTATGGGACTTGCTTTCATTCCTTAGCCTAGAAGCACATACTTACAATTAAAATTCAAGCCTCAGTAACATTAAAAAGGGGAAAGATCCAGTGAGAAAAACAAGGTATGCAAATTTTATGAACTTTGTATGTAAACTAATATAAAATAAAAAAAAAAATTTTTTAAATTATTTTTTGTGCGTGTACCATCAAATCGGATCTGACTGGTACAGGAGGAGATTGTCCCTCCTTCTCCAGCAGAGGATCTGGTGGATTTGAACCATGCACCTCTGGGGTTGTAGTGAAGCTTCTTGCTAAAATAATTTTTTTATAAAAAAAGACTTTCTGCATCATTAATCTTGGAGATCTTCTAGGAAGGATTAAAACCTTCTCTCTGTCTTCCTTCTCAAACTGACCCTTAGTTTTCCATGAAGGATGGAGGCTGTGGGATGGAGAAATTGAAGCCTCAAAATAAACTTGGTTCAGAATCTTGGAAGGGCAGTTTTCTTTGATGATGGGAGGGGAACGTTCGATTAGCTGGAAATGACATTCTTAGTTCCAGGCAAATAATGGTAATTGAATCTAATATCGTCATGGATTTTTAAGGTGAAATAGAGACATCAAAGAAATTTAAAAACTATATCATTGATTATAGAGCTGCTGTCCACACACTGTTGGATGAGTCACGGGGGTCAGAACAGGAATTCAGAGCGGAGGATGGTGGAGACTTTAGAACAAGCCTAGCTAGGTGAATGTGTGAAGCTGGTGAATGAAGACAAACATACAAGTCGTGAACACAATGGAGGAAGTGCCCAAAACGAAGAAAGGAAAATGTAGAATGTTTACTCTTCCCTGTAGGTAAGCAAAGAACGTAGATGCAGTTTGGCAAAAAAAGAAGACAACCTAAGGGGAGCTCTGGTGGCCTAGTGGCAAGGAGCTGCAACTACAATCCCAGAGGTGCACAGTTTGAATCCACCAGATGCTCTGCCGGGGAAGGAGGGACAATCTCCTCCTGTATCAGTCAGATCTGATTTGATGGTACACTCACACACACACACAAATAATAAAGTAAAAAAAAAAAAAAGAAGACAACCTAACAGGCTGAATAGTATGAGACTCTGACTCAATTTCTCAATTTAATCACAATAAACGAGAAAAGCTACATGCAAATAAAGGAGACATCGATGCAGAGTAAAAGGGTCCTGCATAGTGCCACCATGGCATGAGAGATCAGGGAAGACTTTGTGCTTTAGGTGAAGGGATCAGCCATGTGGGAAAGGGCTAGCACGAGCCTGCACACCCTTGAGAATCCCTGGACACTGCTTGTTGCTTCTCCACTGAACTTTGTTAAAAGGAATATATGCAATAAATGATGTAGTCATGTATTCACATTGTCACACCAATTTTACAAGTTAGTATCACCTGCCAAAAAGAACCTCAGTGGAAAAAGGTAAAGGCTCACACTGTTTTATTGCCTGGAATTGAAGCCATCTAAATGAGATGTTACTGAGATGTTTCTCTCTGCCAATGTCTCTCCTCTTTGGCCAAAGGGTTGGATTTGTCCATGGAGAAGAAAGCCAACAATATTTTATTTATTAACTTTCCTCTCCTTTTGGAAAAAGGAGGATTAATTTAGTTGCTGACTAAGAATTTCTAGGGGGTGTTCCGTTCCACTCAGAGATGCTTTGGGAGAAAGGCCTGGAACTCTACCTCCAAAAACAAGCCACTGAAAACTGTGGAGCGTACTGCCACTCATGGTTCCTCATGAGTGGGAGTCAATTTGATGGTACGTGTTTTCTTATGGCATACCGACATGACGGAATTATAGTCATGAAGAGCTAATCGTTTTCTGCTCTATCTTCCAAATTTAATCAATGTGATTGGCTTATTCAAAATTTCTGCTCTAAGTTTTAAAATAAGTATTCATTGATTAATTATATGTGCTTGGTACCATAGTAGGCAAATTTGGGTAAAGAATGGGAGACCATATTTCTTATTTTAAAGCATTAACAATCTTGTTGAAGCTACAAGTAAAAAAAAAAAACAACAACCTAAAAAACAAAAACCCAAGACTATAAAGGCATCAAAGAACAGTAGATGTCTAAGAGTAAAAAATACTAAATGTGTTAGTTGAGAGGTCAATGATATTGGTAGTACATCAACTAGAGAACCTGAACCTCTTCTGTTCCATGGAAGGAATCTCTTTTGAGAGACCTAAGTTGGAAGTCAGGTCCCAGTGGTGTGATTCCATCATAAACTAGCCACAGGTATCAAAGTAGCTCACTGTTAGCACTTGGCAAATGTAACATTTCAGCAGTAATTTTGTGAAACATGGCATTTCATTTGCAATTGGCAAAAGGGATAACCCTTCAAAAGCCTTCATGACTTATCTTACTTTACCTCTCGGCCACACGGTCCATTATGAGCCCAGACGCTTCTGAGTTAACAATTTAAGGGACTGAGGTAAAGGAGTGGAAGATTGTACTCAGGGAAATGCCGCATTTTCTCTCTGTATTTTTTTTGGGGGGGTGGGGGGAGAAAGGAGTGTGAAAGTTTATTTTGTAACAGTATAAAGAACACAACATCTTCCTATTCACCATTTTTTCCACATGTATTATTCAGTAAAATCAATTGCATTGTTTGTGTTTTGTAACCATCATCGCATTTGCTTTTGAAGGTAGAATTTAAGAGAAGGTTCTACATTTATTCCTTCAATTATTCAACAAGTGTTTATTGGCTACCTGAAACGTAGCCCAAAGATGTCCACTGGATGGCTTAGAGCCTTTGTGGGGCCCCAGCTGCCCACGTCCAGGCCTGAAGTCCTCTACCCAGTCCTCTGGATCCCACCATGGCCTGTGTGGCCACCTTAGCTTGCAGATAGAACTGTATCATGCAAATGACACAACTTTGTTTGCTAAAAGTAAAGAGGATATAAAATGCTTGGTGCAGAAGATCAAGGACTACAACCTTGTTATGGATAGCATCTTAACATCAAGAAAACAAAGGCCCTCACAACAGGACCAACAGTCAACATTATGATAGATAGAGAAAGGATCAAAGCTGTCAATAATTTCATTTTGCTTGGATCAACAATCAACACCCTTGGTACCAACAGTCAGGAAATCAAGAGACGTATTGTACTGGTATGTCTACTGTCAGGGACCTCACCAGAATGCTGAGGAGCAATGATGTTAGTTTGAAGACTAAGGTGTACCTGATTCAGGCCATGGTCTTCTCAATCACTGGCTATGCACTAGAGAGTTGGAGATGAATAAGGATGACAGAAGAAGAATCTATGTCTTTGAGTTAGAGTGCTGGAGAAGAGTACTGAATATCCCGTGGACTGCCAAGCAGCTTGTTCAAATAGCTATGTCTTGGAGAAAGTAAAGGCAGAGGTAAAAATGGCAAAGCTTTGTCTTTCACAGTTTGGACACGAGCTAGGCGAGGCTATTCCTTGGAAAGGGTCATCATGCTTGGAAGGATGGAGGGTCAGTGGAGGAGAGGAAGACCCTCAACAAGATAGAATGACACAGTGACTTCAGCAATGAGCTCTAGTGTATCAGAGTTGATGAGGCACATAGCAGGGCAAGATTCAAGTTGGCTATTCATAGGGTCGCTGTGAGTCATAATCAACTTGATAGCACCTAACAACAACCTAGAACGCATCAAGCATTAAGGATGATTGGCCATATTGGGTAATTAATGTTTCTATTGGCTGTTTTGGTGAGGCAGAGCCAAGGGTTCTGAGAATGCAGCCCACCAGACCTTAAGAGTCTTTCTAACAATTCCTTGGATTCGGGAAAGCCTCACCAGACCTGAGTCCCCAAGCAGTGCAGAGCTCATTAGATGGAAGAAAAGCCTATCTAATGAGCCCAACTGACACAGGGGGATGAGTGTACTGATTGCACATTTAGGTCACCATTCATCTCACTCTGCTTGCCAGATTGGATGTTCTTTTAAAAGGTGAAGGTGAATTGGAGCATGAAGGGGTCCTTTTGAACAAATGTTCTAATCATGTAGTCTTGGGTTTTTTCAGACACTGTCCCCTATTCTATTAAAACTTAATTCCTAGTCATTCCCAGGGCACTACTTCTACTTGGGGTTATGTTTGCATTTGAGGGAAGCTTTTCCAGCCCAGAGTTCCTGGCTGGTATACATGGTTGGCATGCTTGGCTGCTAACCAAAAGGATGGAAGTTCGAGTGCACTCAGAGACAACTCCAAGAATGGTCCAGTGGTTTACTTCCGAGAAACATGGGAAAGTTGTAGGAAAACTGCAGAAAGCTAGAGAATTCTTTATTATTATTTGACCCCATGACCTTGTGGATTCCTCAGTAGCAGAGATGGAAATACATTCTTTTCCCCTGCCTCCTTTTATACTATACAATCTGGCACATAAAAAAATTGAGTAAATGCTTAAAATGAGTAAACAGAAAACCATACCTGTAACTTCCTTTAATTATTTCGTATGATATTACTATTTTCCAGCTAAACTGTCTTTGAACCATTGGAAATTATCTTAGGAATGTTTACTGAAAGAATGGATTCTCTGCTATTTAATTTTACAAATTCATTTTACATTCCCTTCTCCTTTTCAGTCACTCAGCAGGTACTTGTTAGTTCTTCTCTGTGCCCCTCACACAGAAGCGTGCTAGATGAGACAGGTTGTGAACTTTGAGGTGATTACATACTGCTGTGTGGGGCAGGGTGAGAAGTATGGCAGAGGGTAAGAACTGGGAAATGTGCCATGAATAACCATCAAGTAAGATGAACAAGATAATATTTTGTGTGTGAAGGATGGAGGATAAATTGCAACAGGCTGATGTAGTATGATAATGGGTTTGGAAGAAATGATGAAAGGCTCATTTGAATTGAATAGTAGTGATTGGCTTCACCAAGGAGTTGACTCTTTTCTGAAGAGCTTCTAAGAACTTTTTTAGGGAACTCTGGAGACCTGGAGGAAAAGGAGTTGTATGACACAGGCAGTTTTAATCCACCAGCTGCTCCATAGAGGAAAGAGGAGCAAACTCCTCCCACGTGATTTACAGCCTCATGATTTACCTGCCGGAGGGTCAGCTACGAGTCAGAACTAACTCAACAGCACACGACAACAAGAAGAAATCTTTCAGATCAACTTTTGCAAGAATGACTTTTTCTAAAACTTGCCGTCTCCAGCTGGATATGTAAAGCTGCCCATTAGTTTTACTGTGTGGCCAAGAAAATAGGCAGGGAAAAGACACTCCTTTTGTCTGTGGGAAAGGATTCTCCCCAGGTTCAGGAAGCAAATGAAACCTGTTTTGTTGTGGCTCAAAATTGCGAGTAGCCAATAATCTCTGGTGAGATTCTTAAAACATTTGTGAATACAGTGTTCCTTGTGCCAGCTGTCTGCCTACCTCCATCCATGCGTCTAACCTCTATTCTTTTTGACAATAAACAGCCCTGCGGAAGCCATTTATCAAGTAAATTGTCATTTTAAATTTAAACACACACACAATGTAAAACGTATAATGCACAAATGGACAACACTTTCTTAAAACAGCAAAGTCAGTTTAAAGCTGTCAGAGTTTTTCTAGCACAAGAAAAAACTTAGTGGTACATGGAACACTTGGGCATGAATAAAACAGTTTGTTTGAGGGTCCCAAGGGATGGCATGCAGGATGGAACTTTCCAGACTCATTATCACAAAGCTTCAATCAGACACTACCAGGAATATAGACTAAGGACATTATCTAGGTGCATAGACCAAAGGTGGCCAATCTTAGGAACTGAATGTTGACAGGCAATTAAGTATACAGTAGGTACTTAAAAACATTTGCTAAATGAACAAATTAATAAAATACTAAAAGTTCATTTGTCTTTCTAGCTATATATTTCTATCTAGCAACTTCTTTGCTATTTATTATACTTTAGTATTAATATTGCCATGTTGTTTATTTCTATAAGCATTTGATTGCATGTGTTTGTCATATTTTTCTACTGCTTATGCAGATCTAAGATTGCAAATTGTTCTCTTTATAGTCCATATA